AGTTCCATTTCATCAATCTTTTCCACGTAATGATTGATGGCAACTCTCACATACACGATGGCGCTGGTTTTCCCTGGACACACGGTAACTATCGTGGTAAAAAAATGAATGAAGACAGAAAGTGCCGGTTGATGCGGAAGACACTGTAGGATAAACTTGTCAGACAGCGGCCTTGCTAGGGGTAAAAATTCAAATTGCTTTGAATGCATGACATACGGTAGATGCAACAAAAACGTGTTGAGTGAATCCGTAGGCTGAGTATCTATGTTACACATAACTGCTTTGAAACTGATCATCTGAGTCTTTTTCATTTCACATTAAAAGAATAAGAAGTCGAAACTCTTGGGAGTCTTGTCTGCAGAACATTTTAAGTTGTCCCGTTTTTGTGAAGTACAGTACAAAATAGGTCGACTGTTTTTGTGTGTGGCTTTCATCCACGGTCGCAGACAGCAAATTGAGTAGTTCGTTGGTAAGCTTAACCTCAGATGATACATGTTTTTTATCTGGAGGGGGCAGTTAGCCCATGACCGGTTACCTATTGAAGGATTCTCACATCCCACAATCAAAAGAAGACTACGTGACCGACCAGTAGTAGCAATTTTATTGTGGACATTAACCAACCTTCTTGAAGTTCATTTTGCATTATTTGACCTTCGTTAACATCTTGAACTTCCCTTTCCACGTCCTTTGAAAAAGACTTGATGAAAACGGAGTCCGAGAATTCCCACCAACTTGATTTTCCCGGATATGTTAAAATCTCCACTTTATATCTTATATTTGTAAATAAGTCAACATTTTTGTGAGAGCGACCGTGGTGCGTTTACTAGTCAAAAGAAAAACGTTGGGGGCTGTTAGATTAGGGGACGGCGAGGTTTTGTCAAACTTTATTACCTCTGGTAAATAGTTGAAAAAGTTTTGACGACGGTATTGCCCTTGAAGATGGCTGTCGCAAAACCAAGGAGTGGGTGTTGAGCCAGAAAAGAAGAGGTTTTATGCTTCGGGCCTTGCACTTCATAACATGTCTACAAAGTATAAAACCTCTAGCCAGTGGAACGGCCGCCATCCGCACTGTCGTAGCCACCGCAACTTGCGAGCGGTTATGGTTGATAAATTGTAGCTGTCTAGGGTGAAGAAAATGCCGCGCGATTTGTGGTTACCCTTTTAGAATATGTCGCAGTAATTATAATTATTTATTCGTGTAAACTTTGCAACAGAGATAGCTTTTATACATATCCCAAAATTTTTCTTGCTAGGAATATGCGGTGCCCACGGTAGTGATTAGTATGATCCTAGTGTTGTAGTTTCGTTAGTTTAGTTCAGGTTTTAAGTCGGATATCTTGTTCCATCTCATTCATTGGACTCCTTCACATTTTGGAACAACAAGTGCTTTGGCCATCTAAAAATTGATGGGAGCCGGGACGAACGACGTGAGGACCGAAGAAACGAACTATGTAAGAAACAATTTTATTTGCTTGCATGACATCTCGGTAGTTTGCAGCAGGAAGTTTAATATGCAGATGAAAGTTGGCAGTTCAGTCGAAGTTTTAGGCATATCACAGGCAAATTAGATCTTCATTTTGATAATTGGGGGACCATTAGAAAAATATGCTTAATCATAACGAATATCGAGGTGTTCAGCATACAGTTTTCCGGCCCTAATACGTACCGTACCGAGGGGACGTTGATTCAACGTTACCGCGATGCATTCACTGGCGCTGAAGATAATAAATGGAAAAATGTCATTTTTCATAATAAGTGTCCCTGTTATTCATCTCGCGTTAGGTATACGTATACCCATGTACACGGTCCGTCATGACTCAGTTCCATCAGGTGAAAAAACTGATTACTGAAAACAGTTCATTAGACCGGAGTATCCAAGGTCGAAGTGATGCACTGTATCACGCAAAATGCATTGAGTGCAAGCTGAATGCTTGTTTTCCTTGGAGGAAAAGGACTATGGTTACTCGATAAAATTGTTGTGCCGCACAGCGTGCTTCAGGGCGTGATCTCAAGTTCACATGCAAGACTGATACCTAATTCTCTGAAATGTCATTTATTTACCTGGAATGGCTATTTCGGTAATTACTAACTGCCAAAAGGCGAAACAAGCGACCGGTTTTGGTGGGGCAAAATGGCTAAAACGGAGCTTTTAGTTCGGATATTCAGAAGTGTCACAAATAACAGCTTCCTGAAACGCCTCTCTGTGTCCTTCAACATCTGATCAATGATGAGAACAAAAAGAGGCAGATCAATTGACAGTCCTGCTTCATCTGATTCGCTTTATTTGGAGACTAGAGGACCACCGATTTCTGTACTCACTCAATGGCGAACAACATGCTTCTTTCAAAGAATTAAATTCATTGAAAAGAATACATTTTGGAGATTAACTGGATCAAACTACTGATTTTTTTGGGGAAACACTTCAAAACCGTATGTGTAGGTTTGAGTTAATGTAATTTAGGCCAAATTTCCATCGCACTGGCTTGATTTTACCTCTCTTTCAGACAGCGTGCCCATCTATTTCTGACATTTTGGTGAAGCCCGGGGTTAAGCACGGAATGGCTGAATAGAGATTTGCGTCGTTTTGCACAGTTGACTTCTAAATATTTATTCTTGGCCCCTTAAGCCAGATGAACCCGCCACTCAAGCAGCGTTGGAATTAAGGTAAGGTAAATGTGAGCCTAGTAATTAGATAATCTATAACGCAGTCTTCATTCCCTATATGTGGTCGGTAGATCCTGAAGGACTGGTTACTTTTATTGCTAGTCAATGCGTAGTTCCGGTAGTTGGTTAGTCGGCTTTGCACTGGTGAAGTCACCTCAATTTGTGGTGGAACGTTTGCCAACTAGTTGCTAAGCTCAGTGGACAGATCGGCAGCAATCTGGTCAAATTGTGAAAGCAACTCAGCAACCAAGAGTTCATAAACTTTTCCGGCGATTATTTCGTGAACACGTAGTCTGCTGCCATATAACAAATCCGCCGATCGCATGATAGCCTGAAACTGGCAAGCAGTGATCCTGGAATTTCAAGATCATCCCTGGAATAATGATGGGGGAGGTTTGAACCATGCAGGAATGGTATTTACTATTCAAGACAATATTTACCTCAGATTTCTGGGTTTTGGCAATACCTGAGCCCGAAACATAAAACTATGCTTACCGCATATCTTGGTTTGAGCACAGAAGGCTGTATTCAGGAAGTGTTCTCCTATGGGTACTCTCATTCCGGATGGGTTGACAGTTGCTGTGGATGCGTATATTTTACACGTGAATTATGTCACACAATATGCCTCGCACATTGACGTTTTGTACTGATAAAAATCCTGCTCTGCTTTCAGTGTCCATTTATGGCGCTGCTTTATATTATCTGCTTTGCTGCCTTTAATATTTATTCAGCTTGATCTCTGTATGCCAGAAAGTGAAGAGGCCATCTCTCGGTTTCTTGCCCCCAGTTTTGACTCATGTTCATGTGTCTCACAACGAAAAGCTGACTTGTCAGCAAGTAAAAACTGCAATCTGTTTGAGAATTTAAACGCACTGAGTAAAAGAAACCAGTCAGATTTGACCATTCCAACCGTATATAATTAAAGAGAATCTCTCTCTAAATATGAGTATTTTCCCAACTTTCAAAACCTGCTCCATAAGTGAGGCTACTTTTTTGAACTCTTCATTCAATGTTTCCCCTTCATCTGCGACAAATTGTAGATTGCTACTGCTCTTCGTAACCCCAAATCTTTGCTAACTACTTGAAACTTTATTAAAGAATCTTCTGCCAAGTATGCTTGCTCAGAACCAAAATTTCTATCGTTATGAAGGATAGTTCCTCATCCAGTACCACTCAACAGGGGTTACATTTTTATTCGTTGTAGAGAGTAATCTAATGCCAATAATTCCCACCTGGTTCGTTTACGTTTTCATCAAACTCACATCCTACCTCTCCACAAGTTTTGAATGTCTCACTATTTCCAGGCATGCACATCTGCAGATGAAAAATCTAGTTCATATCAATTTGGCTGTGATCGTAGGTGGTGGCAAATTAATTAGATCCGACTGCGTTAATTTGAATTACGATTCCCTCCCTGATGCAATGACGGTCTACGCAGAAAAGTCGTCAGGAGCTGTAGAGCTGAGTATCTTTGACGAGAATTACCAACGCCGCGCAATCCATGCAATTTTGTTGAGATTAAATGTAGCAGACGTGTGAATACTGCATTCTTTAATCGCGGATGGCTAGCCGGCTTACATAACCAGCCAAATCATATAACCGGAACTATTCCGCATACGTCACTTTTCTGCATTGTACAAGAAGGCACAGTAATGCGTTGGACACACCATAAATGGGTAATTTGGTGAGAGAGATAAAGGGAATAGCTTCTCTTCAATAAAAAACTCCAAAGTCTCTCAATGTTTCGTTTGCATCAGATAGGTTGGCGTATCAGGGGCGGGTGAGTCGAATGACACTTGGTGACGTTTCCTGGTCACAGGATCTTGTTAGAGGAGTCACCATTGTTCAGTGCTTTGTAATAAGCAATAGTGTTTTGTGAACAACCAGAAACCGATGCTAAATGAATGCTGAATGCACAGCGACTGTTTTTAGGAGTCTTCGCTATCCCTAGTGAAGATGAAGCTTTTGTATTGCCTTCTTGACTAACTATTGTAAACAAATAGGCGAAATACAGTGAGGGATAAAAGAGACTGGGTCGGCTGAGAGAATTCCATGAAAACAGCCTGATTTTTGGGTTTTGAAATTAGGTTCTGGAGTAAAGGTTGACGCATGTCATCTAGGTAATAATGGGCAAATACATATTTCAGACAAACCAAAATGTAAAGAAGTCTTTGTGCAAATTTCACAGTCATGAGAACGGCTTGTGAAATAAGCTGCAAAACACTGATTATGTTACATACTTGCGTCTTATGTCACTTTATGTGCTTTTAATGCTCGGGGATAATACCCCTCTTTGAAAGAATTAGAAAATACATTTGTGGCTTTCACCGGGGTGTTCAGAAACCACCGACGATCAAAACCTTTGCACTAAACGTATGACTGATTAGGGAATGATTCGCCTGGAGGTGGTGTTCTGCGAGATGGCCCAAGTGGTTAGAGCGCGAACCTACTGACCGGAAGGTCCGTGGTTTGAACCCGACCTCTGCCTCTCGACTTCCCCTGTCTAGGCTTGGGCAACTAGGCAGTATCCCAGCCCTCGTGCTTCCTTCGTGTGGCATGACAGCTAGGCACCGAAAGGGTTCTACAGTTTAACGGTGTTCTGCTATGTGAATTGTCTGGCCTGACCAATAGGCAAAAGCAGCTTACCTGGTTTGTCTCTCATGACCGAGATGACTACCCTAAAAACGCCCGGTTTACCATACGAGTGCTGAACCATTGCAGCAATCCGGATAGATATTTCGGGCTACAACCTGACGGAATGTCTTCTGTCACTCAATCAAGCAAAGCGACATTTTATCAAATTGGGTAATAAAAGTCTTTTCATTCTGTTGTATTTAATTTCACGTTCGGCGTATCTAGGTTCGTGATTGGTTCAATTTTCGGCCAGTAAAGGGATTGGCCCCGTGTAAAAAAATTTAACCTCGGAATAGAAACGTTAGCTTTTGTATTCAAGGAGAAATAGGAGGTGCAAATGATTAAGAGTTGTACTATCACCTGTAACAGATGAATAGATAGCGAACATTTTAGCACGTACCCGGTGTAGTTGCAGAACATGGATCGATATAAAACTTCATCGATGAAGTAATTATGACGTTGAGTGAGCTCAAAGCGCTTGGACACAGCACCTTCTGATCTTGTATTTGTAGCTAACAAAGTGAACTAATTGTCGTTTCATTCTGTCCAACTCGAAAACACCTCACCAGATTCACCAGAAAACACAGTTTGGGTAAATCTGCCCTTGCACCAACTCATGTTCCATACTCACTCCACATTGTTGCTGACTTAGAGTACCATTTAGTTTACTCGGCACCGCATCAATTTCATTATTTGATGTGATCTGATGTTTTCCGCCTCCAAAAATGGACTCGCTCACGTTTAATCAAATGGACTTAGCGCAAGACAGGTTATCAACTTAAGTGTCCTTGTTTTGTTTCTCCCATGACATCACAAGTGTTTAAAACCTCTGTATTTTATACAAAGTAATCTGCCCAAAGATGGACCAATTCGGAGGTTATGGAACACTACTGAGATGTGGCCTGTCTCCAAAGGTTCTTGCCTCATGTTGCTTTTATATAAATGTATATATATGTAATAAAGTTGACAATAATTCAAGAAAATATAACCTATTCTGAGTCTCGCTCCAAATTATGGCTGTGGGAGCTTCGAATAAGACATTTCACAACATGTCTTTCACGGTAGTTTTCGCAGAGTGCCCTTAGCATTGTTCTGCCTTCATGTTGATTAACAATCATTCGGGTGGTTCTGTTGAACAAAACTGCCACCATAAAGATAAGGATCATGAAAGTTTACGGCTTCATGTTGTACCTGGCATCGCTACTGATCGGCTGGAATCATAGCGGCGGGTGTAGTAACAGCGTATCCAGTTGCAACAGTGATGCAAATTTTACATTATTAAAATGTTTTCTTGACAGAAAACTGAACGTTTCTGAATCAAATGAATGTTAAATGAAAGCAGAAAGGTGACGAATTGCTTGGGAAGATAAATAACAATCAGGAAGGAAGTCTCCAGAGATATAAACCCACATGTATTTTTTACCCAATTCAACAAACAACTTTCTGCTATAGTCGGAATATGAAGGATTTCGTAATCAAGTGACACCAACTCATCGCAGTAAAAAACTGCAATCTTTTTTCTCTCGAAAGGCACACCAAGTAAAAACAGCTTGATATAATCTCAGACTTGTACGGTCTCACTGCTTTCGAACAACTGGAGGAACCGAGAAATAAACCGGGCCAAGCGTTACAAATACTCATGAAGACTTGTATCACTTTCGCGCATAATTTAACTGTGTAAAATGTAGTGAAATAATCTGATGGCGCTAAATGCTACAGAATGAATAAAGTAAACACAGCTGGGGACTCCTCTCTACCCCAGCACACAATAGCCTGTATTGTTATTAATCCATAGCCAGAAATACAAACACTCCACTAGACCTCTATAAGAATTGGTTTGTGTCATCACTTTATTTAAAATTTCATATCAGCACAGAGTGGTTTTGGTTCTTTATGAACAACTTTGTAACCCGGCTAGCGGCAACACAAATATCTTGCGTAAATAACTCCGAAACTCCATTGTTTCTAGTCCTAATAGTTTACAAGCTATTCAACAAAAAATAAGATGAAGAATAACCAGCATATAATGAGTTTGAAACACCTATTATCAAATCCAGTAGGTCTTGTTTCATGTAGAATTTAAGTGCAAGAATTGCTGACGTAAATAAAGCAGGGAATTTTTATAATTACTGAAATGTGGCGGTTCGGTCTGCGGTATGGCTCCTTGAAAACCATCCTGGATTGTGAGCTATGCAGATCCCACCGGAAGCTCTTTCTTCGTATATAACAATTAGAGAGATTTGGGAAACTAGACTATCTTTGAAGGACCGAGGCTTTTATTTAACCGTTCCCTGTATTGCAACCACACCAAGCATCTCTTTAGGACTCAGCTTATGTGAAATCCTCCGAAAAATAACCTTTTTTGCACATTTAGTTATGTAAAACATAAGGGCAGATTTTAGACAAAAAATTATTTAAGCATTGTTTACAACAGTCACTGAACGGGTAAAAATAATGATCCAGCAAAGTGACAGACAAAACACTAATCTTCGTTTTTAAAAATGGCTTATTTAGTCAGCAACACCGCTTGGGTTGTTGGCATTCACCGATCTGCGACTGCTAAAACACGGACCATTGTACTGGCAGTGTGCATCAATTACAGTACCTTTACTGCTCTCTTTTACTCTCTCATATAACGCTTTAGACTGAGCAAATGCAGAAGAGTGACTTCACGAGAGAACGGTATCATAATGAACCTTGATTTTTATCAGAAACGTCCGCCTCTTGAAAATAGTAACAGAAAGCCCGGACCCTATTGTCACACTCAAACATCACCGAAATCGCATTAAGAAAGCCGTCAAGCTTCCAGACCAGAAAAGCCGGGTTTCGATCTAACACTTAAGCAATTAATCGATCGGCCGAGGAGTGGTCACGCACTTCATAGGAGCACGGCCTACGATGAAAGGTGTTCATCCAAAGCCGATCAACCAGCCAGTCAGATGTGCGGTTTAACTACTGTGATGACCCATCTAACTTTTGCACTCGCTTGTTCGCAATAAAGCTGTTGCAGTCTTTTTACGACACCAACTGGACCGGGGACAGCAGTTAGATACAACTATTCCATACAGTGACTATAATCTATTCGATTGAAAACCTATGATACGCAAGGTTCCACAAGATGGAATAACTGCAAGACAATTTTAGCTTCTGAACGGATTCCTTTGTTCTTCTGTCTGCGTTAAGGTTAAAGAGCTGAATTCAATAATTTATGTAGTTGGAAGTAGCAAGGCGCGGAGAATTCGTTTTGAATCTCCCGAATAAAACAATATTCAGAACCCATTTCTGCTTACCCATATCATTTATATATATATATATACACCATATATATATAATGTTCCCATAGTTATTCCATCTTTTTAAAGCCAACTGATGGTCTGCAGCAGTCCTGTGAATGTTCGCCTGTCTACTTATTATTTCTTTTATTATTATGTTATTATTATTATTGTTGTTATTATTATTATTTCTTTTGCACTATATCTATCCTATATATCCGACACACATAACCCAAACCAATCCGTCATCCTCAATAGGAAGGAATGGTTCTGTCATATTTCTGGCTGTATGTTTCAAGCGGCTAGCACATAACTACGCCTTTACTCAAAGTCTCTCGTTTAACCGGATATACAATGGATTCGCCACCGGAAAGCTTCCAATATCTAAGGCATGGATTCTTAGCGTTGCAAATAATTATTTTTTGTCAGCTTTAGACATCTGGTGCAACGGGTTAGAATAGCGGAGAGGTCATATCCGGATTGTAGCGTAATGCATGGAAGGAAATATAATTCTTCGTTTCCACACTACGTTAGCAAAGTTGGAAAACCGTGGACCATGTAGTGGTTGTGGACCAAACTGTTTCTAAAATTTGGCCCCGAGAAAATTAACAAGACATATTGAAGCAAATTGTTCGTATATTCTCCTTGCGAGCCCTGAAACTACTTTCCACATAAACTGCGGGTTCCAGATGTTTTGTTGTCCCCAACTATGGGTCATCAGTGAGATACCGGACCTGTCTCTTGTTGTTCAGCCTCAGCTGTCATTCTCTTCGGGTCTGTACCGGGAGAAGGACATCCAGGTAAACGCCTACATGGCCCGTTTCAAAACACATCACGCTTTGCATGTTTAACGCGTGGAGCCACCAGCGTAGTTTGACGTGACAGAAAAACCCGGAAACACATACTGGTTCACTATACTCTCATTGCGGTCTTTATGGGTGATATCATTGGATGGATGGAACACTACTTGCTGAGTGCCTGGAAGAGTGTTTCACCTACTATCGTAAAATTACAAAACTTTCCATCAGCCGATCAAATTACGTAACGGTTGTTCTATTGGGTCAACTAGTAGGAATTCGTGGTAACAACAACTCATCCTTTTACTCTGTGTGTATAGCTTTTCTTCTGCCTGAGTGTTGTCAGTCTTACTTATCAAAATACTGGACTGATGGGTTGGTGTGAATGTTTGTCAGTGTCAAGACGACAAAAATCACATGTCTGACACCTCCAAGTCGTTATGTCCTACAAAAATGCACTCCAGAAGCGTAAGTTGTGTACGTGTTTGCGTGCGCGTGAGACGCTGAGTGGTTGTCACGTGCTATTTTAGTTTATTTTTAATTCGTAAACTGCATGTGACTAAAAGATAACATAATGATTCATTCCTGAAATAACCTTGAGAGGAAGTTGAGGAACGCTTGCGAACTAACATCATAACTGACAGTATTTATATATCGCTAGCTGAGGCAGGGACTCATCGGTTTTCAGTGAGTCAAAGGATCTCTCAGTAAACTTTCGTTTGAATTCGAATTCACACTGAGAACGGGTAAAGCGTGATGGATAAACGGGACTACAGACAGCTTTATGATCTGACAATTCGCGTATAGCCTGCGCACACATTGGAAGTAGAACTATTCAGTTTTTCTATCCGGGCAATCTGATGCCAGGAATGATGAAATGTAGCAGTTTTTTGAGTTAACAAATTGTTGCGTTGATTACCTGTTCAGATTTGGATTCAATGAGTTAAACATATTACGATTATTTGCACAAAGTATGAAAAATGCCCCAAAATTATTTTGATCAGGTGAAAAATACAGCCAGCGATGTCATGAACAACTGAAATGCATCTCTCAAGTGTACAACATAAATGCGAAGCACAAGATGCCTGGCAGCATCGTCCAATTTCGGTAGTAACAACCGCTAACAACTTGCGCATTAGAAGTGAAATTATTAGGACATTAATCAGCCACACCTGGGTGTATCGCATGGATCAACGCTATCGGAGCTAAAGCAGACTCAGAGGACCGTCTAGGAGACGATGGAAATGGGCAATTTAAAATTTCTGGAGATTGGCTGACTGGCTCTGACTGCTCTGCTTCAGCATACAGTGACTGCGACGTGAAATCCTGAAGGAAGATTTTTGACTTTGAAAAGAGCCATATAAAATTACTCAGGTTGACTGATGAGTGCATTTACGCCTCACTCTTTCAAGTCGAACAAATCTTGTGATAATATGAATTTTTCAGATGATTTTTGGGCACATTCGACAGCAAGAGAACTGGATTATCAATCGCGTCTTCTGAGGTTTTTACTAGGATTCTGTTCATTTCCTGAAAAAGTTCGAGCCACTCAGATTATCAGATTATTAACAGCTTACAAACATCCGACAAACAGATGATTCACCCTGCAGATGCGATCATTCTTTGTGGAATGGTGGCGAATCACTGTTATACTGTCATTGGTTGGGATAAGCTACAGTGCACAGCTCACAAATCTCCGGGACGAACTGAGCCCATGGCTAGGAACCATTGGGTAACGGGCGGCTGACCAGCGTTGTGGTCAACTCGCAGGGCACACCACCACTCATTTTTTCACTCGCCCAACTCACATCTGCTAACTTTTGACTGACTCTTCGAGTGCATATTTGGGCGTCATAATTGTTGACTGGATGGCCGGTTGAATGCATAACTGCTAGGTTTTCTTTAAATTCATCTAACAGTTCCGTCGGAGCCTGTCAGCATTTTCACACATCATGCTACTTTATCGAAGTAAACGGAGTTGAAATAACAAGAGGGCTACAACAACAATTTCCCCTATCCTTATATTTCACTGACATGCTGACACGTTCAGTACTTAGGCAGTGGGTAACTTTCTAAAGTTTTCAGAGGTACCATCATGTGTTTGCTTTGCTTATCCCTCCGTAATGCTTTCAGAAATGTTTTTTATTTAGTTCTCACGTTACTGTGATAAACCAATTCAGTTGAACTCAGTTTGAAACCAAAGATGTTTTTGATCTATTTACCAAGTTTCACAGTCTTCGGTGTGAACAAGAACTGAATGGCTTTACTAACGTTGGCATAAGTTTAAGTATCCATGTGTGCATGTCTCTGTTACTAAGAGCTTATTTGTACTAGTTGTACTGTTGAAAAGCTTTGAGTGGTTGTCCTTTGCTTTCTTCTACTCCAGAAGTTGCTAAGGTCCCTAAATTATCGCATTATTTTTTCATAGCCACACCACTCTCGTTTGAACGGCCGTGTTCCTGTTCTGGCGTAATTATTCCGGTGAGTTCACACCAAAGGGAAGCACTGGACCCGAGATTCGCTCTTATTAGAGTTCATCAGCAGTGCATATCCAATGGCCGTGCCGGGATTTGAACCCCGGACATCTGTCAATCGATCGTCACAACCAGGGCAGTTACTGGGTCCTCATTCGACGAGTCGGGCACACCAATCATATCGCTCAAGTGTGAACACGTTCGCCTGTTCAGACGTGATAATTCAGATTCGTCCAACGTGCGTTGGTGGAGTAGTGATAACGCGTTCGCCTCGCGTGTCAGATGTCCGGGGTTCAAATCCCGGCACGGCCATTGGATATGCACTGCTGATGAACTCTAATAAGAGCGAATCTCGGGTCCAGTGCTTCCCTTTGGTGTGAACTCACCGGAATAATTACGCCAGAACAGGAACACGGCCGTTCAAACGAGAGTGGTGTGGCTATGAAAAAATAATGCGATAATTTAGGGACCTTAGCAACTTCTGGAGTAGAAGAAAGCAAAGGACAACCACTCAAAGCTTTTCAACAGTACAACTAGTACAAATAAGCTCTTAGTAACAGAGACATGCACACATGGATACTTAAACTTATGCCAACGTTAGTAAAGCCATTCAGTTCTTGTTCACACCGAAGACTGTGAAACTTGGTAAATAGATCAAAAACATCTTTGGTTTCAAACTGAGTTCAACTGAATTGGTTTATCACAGTAACGTGAGAACTAAATAAAAAACATTTCTGAAAGCATTACGGAGGGATAAGCAAAGCAAACACATGATGGTACCTCTGAAAACTTTAGAAAGTTACCCACTGCCTAAGTACTGAACGTGTCAGCATGTCAGTGAAATATAAGGATAGGGGAAATTGTTGTTGTAGCCCTCTTGTTATTTCAACTCCGTTTACTTCGATAAAGTAGCATGATGTGTGAATATGCTGACAGGGTCATAATTATTGCGAACCGTTTTGCTCAGTTAACTGTTGATAATTATTTGTAGTCTCATTTTATTCTTGTGTTGATGGCATACTTAAATTTCCTAATTTTTGAGTTTGTACGTGCATGGTATTCACCGAATCTTGATCAGCGCCAATTCTTTCAAGTGTTCGCTACTATCACCCGATAGTTAGCCGAAGTATTCCAAACAGCAAACTCAGTGGTACCAGCAAAGCTGTTGACAGTAAAGGGACACTGGCTGCACCAAAAAGGTGAGTAAGACGCTTGTTTTGACTTCAAGAACATCCGATAGTCTGGGAAATAAGTATCTGAAAGAGTTCACTAGAAGTTCACAAGTGGCATATAGAATAAAATGCATCTGGAACTAGGAAACACCAAGTTTCATGAATAAAATTACTGTATGAAAGTACGATATATCTATGATTCCAAAAATGGTGATTTCAAAGGTCTGCTGATAAGGGAAAGTATTTCAATATAAGTATAGCATCTGCGTGTAGTAGACAGACAAGCCTATAAATTTGAGTTTGATCGCTGCAGTGCAGTGTTCTGTACTGACCAGGCACCACTCAGATTTTTTTGTTTGGGCAAGATAGTGGATTATAGTGGATGGAGTTAACCGTGGACAACCTCGTATGATGGTCTATTAACTTTAGTCAGAATGACCTACTTGATAATGGCATGGCAGTCAGAACGCTTGATGATGACCAAAATCACTTAAATTCAAATTTGATTGTTGACGCCACACGTATTTGATCTTCAAAATCATAAAATAAAATAAAAACGAGGGCACCACAAGGCACTTGAAGCAGTCAGTAGACTAGTCGGTGAGCCAGTAAGACTCAACAAAGCTGGACCACATTCGCAAGCAGTGAAAACTCTCCATCATCGCAAGGCGGTCTGTGTCATACTAGTAAGAAGTTAGCAACCGCTAGCTAACGGTAAAAGCGCATAACGCCCCTGCAGAGCGAAGAACTACACTAACCACGTATAGCCAAAGACTCAGTAGAATATGTTATACAGAACACCGTCGATGATGTCTTTATATGAGTTCCCATAAACGTAGTTTTAGGATCATACCAGCCTACGGTGATTATGGCATGTTGGCAGTTTCGAGTATTTGCTAGACAGTTTTTCTTCGGTTACACATTTGCATGACTGAAAGACGCCTTTGACTTCTAAAAGACACATAAAAATTATTGGGATAGTCGAACGATTAGTGAGCTTCCCATCCACTGACTTTGGTTTTTGTGATAACGAAACCAGCATAATTGAGTTAAAACTCCAAATGAGTGTATAAATTTCGATATAACCGGGCCTGTATGTTAGCTACTTAAAAGTACATGATTGTGTGCATCGTAAGAGTAGTGAGTTATAGAAGTAGACTTTTTGCCAGCGCTGGAGATCACCGAAACAAGCCTTGTGCGGATGCACCGCTGCCTCCAACAACCTGTGACGCAATTAGCACTGCGGAATACGTGAATGCATTTGCGTCAAGCTGAACCGGCCACCAAACGCGTCACGGTAATAAATACTTCGCATAAGCGAATTCATAATTTTTATGAAGCAGGTTTCTGCGAATTTATTTAATTCCTCGAGAGACACTGTTCTGTTTATTAATATGTAAGGTTAATGTGGAATAAACACAGTGAGTGACCTGAGGCAAGATTACTTATTCTCCACTCATCACTGTTTACAATGCGCGCCATCCAACAGGGGGAAGTGGAACCAAACATATTGAGAATGACGCAAACAGGAGAATAACAAACGACACTAGTTACTGCTCTTTGGTCAACTACCTGGGGACATGAAACTGCTTCCAACCAGCCTAAAGGAATAACAGAAAAACAAGAGTACTACCTTAACTACAACCTTTAAAGCCCCGCTCCGAGGACGTTTTTAACCAAAATGTCAAGTTCCAAAAGCGCTCTCAGTGAAGCAACATGATCCTTGTTAATGATCACCACCCGGTATTTATATAAAATATATCACTCAAGGAAACACGTGCTATTTAGAGGAATATTACTTCTCATCTGTTTACATCTGTGTAATAATAGTGCAATCACTGAAGATCTGGTACACCAGGGAAGTAGAATTCTCTTCCCGATGTGGTGGTTTACCGGAATACGGAACTACGAAATTTCCTATTGTGACCTTAATCAGATTCAATTGGAATTTTCTCCTTGTGACATTGTACCCCACTTTAGTAATTTCTTCTGTTCACTGGAGACTCGATAGAGCCGTTCACCACTACATAAATAATGAGCCCGCAGTTTTTGCTTTGTTCTATTTTTCCGGTAGCTTAGATTTCCCATAACTCTTATACGCACTTACTTAGTCCGCTAACTCACTTGTTCAGCCATGTCTGATGAAGACAAACTCAATTGAAAATGCCGTTTACGTCAAACTACAAGCCTTTGGAGTCAGTGACCCCAGAATGTGGTTTATTCAACTGGAATGCTACTTCGGCTTTTGCCATATTACCTCACAGCCTCCGACTGAGTTTACTGTAGAGGTTACTGATATGATTGATTCAATTCTGGTATCGAAATCATACAACAGACTAAAGGAGCCATAATTAAACGGAAAGCCACCTCAGAGGAAACGCATCTGCAAAGGTTGCTTGCAGGAGTTGAACTGAGCGATCGCACGCTATCACGACTTTTCGACATATGCATAGCCTAGTCTGCGGCAAGTCATTCGACGACGCGATTTTAAAGCAATTTGGTTGCGGTGTCTGTCCTTGAATACTCGCCAGATTCTGGCTACCCAATCCGATGTTCCTCTGTCGTCACTCGCACAGCCTGCAGACGAAATCCACAAATGCCTCTCTGGCCGTTTGATAGCTTCAACCTCTCAACAACCCATTCAGCCTAATGATAACCTCGTTAAAGCACCCCTCGATAGAATGCAGACGAAAATTGATCAGCCAGCAGCAAATGATAAAATGTTAGGTATCAAAGTGAAGCGGACTTCTACGCTACAGAAGTTCAGATATGTTTCACGTGATCTGTCCTGTCCATCTTGGAATCCCAGCCATTTCTGCCATTACCATTTGAAATGCAAAGATAGGGCTCTACGTTGTACACATCTGTGAGTCCATGTCTACCCCGAACGGGTGAACCCACTGGCTAGTCGGTAATTGCGATAGTTGCCAATGGCCAGTCATCTAGTCGCCTTTATTGCGTTACAGATAGGACCACCCGTACATAATTAAGCGTTATTCCTACCAGAAACTTTAAACGCCATTCCTCCAACCCGCTGACGACATGACAGGCGGCTAACGGCACCCGCATAGCTACCTTTGGTCATAAGTCACTGACGCTTGGTTTTGGTCTTCACCGTGCGTTCCTCTGGACTTTCGCCCTCGCCAATATTCAAGTTCCAATCTTCGGTGGGGATTTTTTGACCAACTTTTCCCTATCCATTGATATCA